ATAATATTATCCCTTGACAGAAAGAAACAGAGCCACAGAAAACATCATTCAAGCAGTAAAAAAAAAAAAAAAAAAAATTATATAGGACCATGACATGTTAATGACAAAGGAACTGTATCAAATGGAACCTCTTGAGCTGGAATGACCCAAAGTACAAGATTTTTTTAAAAAAATCATATCTGAAGAGTATGTGTTGAAATTCAAAGCATCTTCACCCCCTGAAAATAAGAATATAAATATCAGTCACATGCACCAGCGTTCATGTTGGACATGAGTGAATCGCCTTGCGGCACCTTGTTACTTGGCAGTTGCGTGTCTGAACGTAAACCCCCGTGTACGCGATGTCGCATCGAACGACGTTGTTGGTGAAGTCCGACTCCAGTACATGGAAGTCGGGATTAACGGTGACCTGAGAGCGTTGTTGAAAATGACTTTACAAGAGCATCTAATTGAAGTCAGGTCATATTGTACTTTTTTTCATGATTGATTTTATTTTTTTATTTTTTTTATTTTTTTACCTTCAAGATGTAATTTCCTGGCGTGACGTCCGTGATGTCGATCCACTGGCAGTCGATGTTGGCGGCGTAGAGGTCGTGACAGCCCGGGCTCAGTCCCTAAAAACCAAATGTTTGATCACAAAGCAGCAGACGACAAACCGTCTTACTATAGAAGCCACATACGAGCCGCGTGAGACTTTGTGAGATTTAATGAAATCTCACGACATATGCTCTGAGTCTACAAAGTCCCTCGAGACTTTCGAAAGTCTCGAAAGTCGAAATATTATAAAACTCGTTTGATTTATCTTATTTGACAGGGCTGCATTTAGTCTTGTAAAGGGACTTGCCTCCCAGTCACACGCAAAATAACCACGGCGTTCACCAATCTTTTTTTTTTTTTTTGACATTTTTGGCACATAACTTCTTTTTAAGTTTGTACGACAGCTGGAAACGCTTTTGGCCCGTCAAGAGGTCGCCTCACCTGTGTGTGAGCCGTGCAGGCGTAGCGCCGTCGGAACCCCGTGTCGCACGCCGTGTCCTCCAGGCAAAAGCTGGCCTTGTGTCCTTCGGCCACTCTGTGGCCGGTGACGGCGTCCAGGAGGTCGTAGTTGCTGAAGGCCTCCATGCTGTGGTAGTGTCTGTTGAAAAATCAAAAACATGCTGTTGGGTTTTTTTTTTTGATTTTTTTTTTTTTTTATACTCACCTCCAGTGTACAATATGCAAGGCCATTCGATTCTGTCTCTCTCTCTCTCTCTACACACACACACACACACACACACACATATATATGTTAGAATTCCTATTGAATTTGAGCTAAAAATATATAATTTTTTATATAATATATACAATACATTAAATATATAAAATCAACATGTTTTAAGTTTTTTATTTAAACATATATAAAAATATTACACTCCAAAAATGACTAAGGATGTTCAAAACAATCTATTCTGTATATTCTGAAAATGTACATGTATTTTATTTTATTTATTTTTTAAAAAGTGTATCGTGTTTCTTTTATTGGGTGGCTGGAGGGATGGATGGGAGGGTGGTTCCTTCGAAGGCAGGGACTTACTGGTGACAGCTGTGCCAGTCCCACTGATGCCTGGGCTTCAACGGAAGGAAGTCGGCTGTGCCCTGGTTCTTCACCTTTTGTGGAAAACGGAGGAGCACCCGAAAGTCGATGTCGCTCACCGACGGTCCGTGGGCCGAACTGGGCAGAACATTTACACTTCACTCACTGACCCAGTGTGTCAGTGTGTGTGTGTGTGTGTGTGTGTGTGTGTGTGTGTGTGTGTGTGTGTGTGTGTGTGTGTGTGTGTGTGTGTGTGTGTGTGTGTCTACCTGGCCAAGCAGTCCTCCTCCGCCGCACAGCGCAACGCAAACATCTGCATGCGCTGGACGTAAGCGCCTGCTTGGATGGCGTACGGGTCTGGCACCAGATCAGGAAGCCCTGGGAGAACAGAGTCCAACATCAATATGTCACGGGACTTCATGGGGGGGGGGGGGGGGGGGCCAAAAAAGGGGGGGGGGGGGGAGAATCACCGGACCGGAACCAAATGGAGCATGTATTTGACCTACTGAAAAAGAGAAGCTGGCCTTCCAGCCCCACCTTCCTGGCCTGACTCCATAAGGGGACCTCGGTGACCCGTGCACGGGCAAGGTAAAATACATTCCAATATTTGTACACCAGAGGGATCTTTTGAGGTGTACTTTGTCTAGCCTCTTACCTTGGACCTGTTTGCCACGGGCCACCCTGCTGAGGCATAAAGCCTCTGAAAATTGAGCTCCAAGGAGCATTTTCATAGTACAGCAAGTGGCGATTTCTCTCGGGTCTAAATATTAGGAACGGGTCTTAATCTTGACACACCACACTGCCAAATGACAAAATACCACTCAAAAGTCAACTACCGTTTTGGAAGTATCTCGTCCCGTATCCCGCGTCTGGGGGTCTTCGCCCGTGGGCCCCCGCTCGTCCTCTGGAGGGGTACATGTTGTACAACACCGAATTGCCGTGGGGCTGAAGCGAGTCGTCGTTAAACATGCCCTCCGCCTCGTCGGAAGCGTTCTCCTCCAGCGGGTGGTACGGCGCTGGGGGGCCGGGGTCTCCCGCCGAGTACCCGAAGGAAGAGCGGGCGTCGGGGAGCGCGCGTAACGGTATTCCTTCACGGCCGCGCGGGACCGAAGCGTCCGCGGGGATACCGTCGTCCCACCCGAGGAAATCCCGAGCGAAGTCCACCGGGGCGTCGACGACGACGGCGCCGCCGCGGCGTCGTCCGGTGCGCGCCTGATGCGCTCCGGGTGGGATCCTCACCCTGCCTTCGGATCCCGTCGCTCGGTCCCGGCGGCTGACGTAAACGTGCGCTGGGGACTCGAACTCGGAGCCGGTGCTCATGAGGCTGTGGATCTGGCCGTTGTTTTCCCACTGGATGCGGTGGCGCCAAGGGCCGGCGTGCGCCGGCACGGGGTGCTGCTCTTGTCCGCCGATGACTTGGAATAGTCCGTGGGAGAGACAGAAGAAGACGAGAGACGCAATTGCCATGGTAACCAAACTACACGCCTAAAAAAAAAAAAAAAAAAAAACTCGTGTCCGTGAACAATTTAAGAAATTCCACGCGTGTAAACGCCTCGCGTCCCCTCGCAGGTCCACTTCTGTCAGGACTCAAGTGGGCTGTACCCACGTTACTCCCCCCCACCCGCCACCCTCCTCTTTTTTTTTCTTTAAGTCATTTACAGAATTCAGCCCACTGAGCGACTATGGTCAAACCTTCTACATTAACCCTTCACTTGCGAGACACTTTGTTGAGTAAACTTTGACGTATGGGTGTTAAATTAGCTGGCCGTGGGTGGTAGTGGTGGTGTGTGTGCGTGGGGCATTTCTACACGCTACTTAGTCTCGACCACGAGAAGTCGTATGGAAGTTTGACACTATGAACAAATACATCAATAGGGGTGGGGGCTAGTGAACAAATCCATGGGTTAATAAATCATATCATATCAAAGAAACCAATCCCCCTAGCGGCTGTTTCGATGCCATGTCGGCACGTATATGAGAAAGTATTCCAAAATTATTTTTTTCAAGCAAATTCTGAAAGAATACACGTACATTTTTTTCCACAATCAAATATCAAATGTTAAAAAAGCAAAGGTAAGAAAGACTTAACAAAATGTTGAAAGAGTAAATAACATATTTCCAATCAGAGTTCCATGACGATTTCTGAAATTGAAAAACACATTAATTTAAAATTTTGTCTCACAACTCTATTTAAACAGCTTTAAATTAACATTAAAAACCACTCCATGATTTAGTTCTAAGAATGAGCAACGTGATTAAAAAAAATAGAAGTACATTTTTAAATGCAAGCGTAAAATTTTAGACTTGATGTGATTATAAATGAATAATATAATGTACTGTAATACAATTTTAAATTTTCGATTTTTTTCCCGGACACAAAACTATTAAAATCTGTTTTAAAAAAAGTACTATAATATATCTACCACACGAGGGCAGTGTTGCCAAAATGTTCAACCAATGATCATCCACTTCCAAGGGACATCTTGGCAATGCCGTGTCTCACATAAATAAACAATACTCATCAGTTTGAAACTTCAATATTTTGTCTTTGCAGCGTGTTCAATCGTATGTATGTTGAAGAGCATTTGCAAATCGTTGTATTCTGTTTTTATTCACTTTTTACGCAACGTCCCGCAGCTTCATTGAAATTGGGCTTTGTAACTAAATTAATGTGACTTAAAAAAACACACACACACACACACACACACACACACACACACACACACACACACACACACACACAGTCAAAGTAAACATAAAACAATGACTTTACATGTTGTGTATTTACAATACAACTACCACCACACAAATTAGGATCTATGTTTGCGGTGCTTTAAGCTGTCAAGCAATGGAGTGCACAAAATTGGTGCAGTAAAATATGGAGACAGACAATACAAGAGAACACACCTCTTATTGGAACGACTAATATTAGTGCTGTAGTGATAAGCTTCGAGAGTTGAGATGAATAATGTCTGTCTGTATGTCTTCTACTGCCTCCGGGTGGCCAAGACGGGCACAACAGAAAGACCAGCACAATAGCCATTCCATTGATGCAGTGTGATAAAAACTATTTCCTTCTTTCTAATTGTATAATTACTGTATGTTAAGTACAATCTTATGCAGAGGTGTTATTCCTCATTAAAATACACATGACGTTTTTCTTTTAATGTGGAACAGATCAATTTTTCACCATAGTTTCCGATGAGGAAAAAAAAAAAGGGTTGCGAAATATTAACCGAGACCACCATAGCAAGTAAGGACGTGAAACATAGCACACAGAGTTGACATTGTCACACCGTGTCCCATGCGAGCCGTCCTCTTGCCACATGCCATCAATGCCGCGCAACTCTCAGCCCATCCAAATAGGGCCAGTTTGCGTGCGATTCTATTCTCGGCTTTCCACATCCCTCCCAGTGGCATTCCCGCTTGCTTTATAAGAGCGCTGCAGCCTGGGCACTGGTTTGGCACAAGACTTCCCAGAGCAGGACATGTAAAAGGCACAAATAATAGCCAGTAAGTATTATGATATGACACTGAATTGAGACTTAATTGTGTGTGGAAAATAAAGCAATCAAGTCAAAATCTTACCACCCCCCCAAAGAAAAGGTGGCAAACTAACCTTTACTTTTTGCTTTGGAAATAAAACACTTGAATACTTGATGCTTTGAATATGTTATAATCTGTAGGTGTCCTCCATGGCCTTGCTTCATGATGATGATGATGATGATGATGATGTATGGAATACACAACTTAATGATAAGAGCCACACACTGCAGGTGAGATGCTAAAAACCTTCTTTTCATGCAGGGATAGACAGACAGACAGTCAGACAGACAGCCACAAAGACAGATAGACAGCTAGCTAGCTCGCTAGATAGATCGATAGATAATGTATATTACAGTATTTTATATATATATATATATATATATATATACACACATACTTTTTGTATTATATTGTATCTTGTGCTAATGATTTTGTTGTGTTTTAAATAACTTGCTCATGATTAGATTGACAATTTGATTATAGAAAAAATACGACTAAGCAATTCTTACTTTTTATTCGGAAAAAAACATTTACAGCAAACACTGGGGCTTTTCAAAATTAAAAAAAGGTTGAATTTCTCATAAGATTTAGATTTTATCCAAAAATAAAACAAAAAAAAATTGTTGCTTTAAAATTCAAAATTGACTTTGTCTCTAGAAAATAAATAAAAAAAAAATACTGCTTTTTATGGAAAAATCTACACTTTTTTAAAGTATGATGATGACTTTTACCTGAAGCAAAATTCCTTTAAATCTCTCCTCAAAAATTGATTACAACTACAGTAAAGAAGACTTATCGTATATTGTCACTAATACAATATACTACTTTATACTCTGTATAAATCATGAGTGTTTATTTAGATTTTTTTTCCAGAAAATGTATGTGAGATAGAAGTAGAAAAAAAAGCACAAAATCCTTGCAGTCTGCCCTTTTTTGTGACGCAAATGATGCCGCTCCCGTCCACCATGTATGGTGGGCCCGACTGTATTTTTGGTGCCTGCTACAGGACGACTGACGTGAGGGCACGTCGAGTTGTCACCTTAACCACCCTTCGCTCCCCCTCAACCCGGCAACCGACCTGTGGTTCAGTGGCATGTTTTTAAAATAACTCCCTCCCTCCTGACACCTCAGGCACTTGGCCTGAATTTAAAATGTCAGGCCAGCTGCCATCTACTCAAGAGTTGGCATGCCAACACCCACACCCCCTCGAACATATCACAAGACCCACTTCAAAAGTTTTGGTTACATACTGTATGTGCTGAGGAATAGACGTCCCGTACATTTTGTTCATCTGCGGATTGTATTCAACACCACCTCATTTCTGGTTGAGCACACTTCAATGTTGGCAATAATTCAAGCAATTTTAATACACTGGTATGTCGATTTCTGAGTTTTTCAAGATGGGGAAGAAAAAAAAAGTGATTTCCGAGGTATATTTTTTAATTTGTATATTATAACTTTATATTAATAATTTATGAGTATAATAATATCAACAATTCAAAATGTGATTATATATGATAAATCAGATCAAATATATTTTTTCATGCTGCCAGGAAAAATGTTTGAAAAAAATATTTGTTCCAGATTATTAATCATGATCATAGATTATTATGTAAAATGGAGGCACCAAAAACAGTAACACCACTTACACTTGTTTATGTGTGTTTGTGTTTGACAAACAGACATGTCATGTTTATGTTGCATTCAAGGTCCACTTTGAGGAAATTTAACTTCCAGAGAGTTACCTTTCGCAATTTTAGTGAATGAAAATGTTGGTCGTAGTTTTATTGCATTGGGCGCGTTCAATGCGGTCAAAGTGCAGCAGTCGTGTTAAAAAAAAAAAAATTCAACATCAGGGTTAAAAAATAATTGTTTTCCTGCAGTAGTTTATCGCCTATCATCACCATTTACGATTTGTAAGTTTATCTGATCTGTCGTCTCGGAAATGAGCGTGACTGAGTGAAAAGGACAACAGGAAACAGATTGGAGTGCTTTGTTGACTTTATGTGTTTTCAGTTTGACAAACGTGTACAGCAACATGTACATGTATGTTCATTCGACCCGTGCCGAAGCAGGGCGGCTTATCTTTTTCTTTTCCAGACAGAGTGATATAAAAGACAGATGTGTGCGGCTTGGCACCACTATTTACACATTCTATAAGGCGTATATGTCATCAAAATGGTCGTTGTTATTTACATTATCTATACACAAGTTCCTCCCGGCCACCATCCTGCTGTGGAGAGACAAAATCAGATGTCAGTGCTGAAGAATGAATAAATATGATTCAAATGTCAAAAAATGAGCAGAAATCACAATCACCAAAATCGCTAATATCATAATGATGAATGTACCTATGAGTTGTTGAGGAGGGTGTTCTGGATGCTCTCAAACACGACAGAGTAGATGTCATCTTTTGACATCATTCCATCGAGGTACTCTAAATGGGGAAATTCGACGGTTAGCCAGCTTTTAGAATGTCGGAAAGGCTGCAAACAAGTCTCGCTTGCATTTGGGGCAAAAGAGGCACTGCCCCACCAGATGCAGCAGGTGGCACTTGCGTACCAAACAATAAAATTGTCGAAAATTGTCCTTTCTCTGCTGTTTTGGGAAGCTGAGCCCTCAGCTCATGTCACTGTTTGTTTTTCTTAATAGGCTCGGGAGCACAAATGATGGAGCCCTACGAAGTCTGGCAGGTAACAAAGGACTACAAAACCAGACCGGGGATAGATTTGGTTCGCCAATTTTACTCTGCCTGTCAACTTGCAGACTAAAATAATTAATCAGGTTGAATACACATTTTGGGGTTTTACATGAGTTCTTTGTAGTTCAACTTATCCTTATATATAGTCCAACAAGACATATCTTGGAATAGTTAATTTAAGATAAGATAACATATCCTTTATTTGTCCCACACTGGGGAAATTTACAATTTCATTTGTATTATTGTCAATTTATTTATATTATTTTTCTGTTGTATTATTGTTGTTTTATGAAAAGCACTTTGTTGTAGTCATTGTGAAAGAGCTATCTAAATAAAGATGTATTCTATTGTATTGTATTTTCTGTCCAGTAAGTAGCAAATCCTTGTAGCCAGGATAACTTTAGTACATAGAGTTGCTTGCCCAATAATATAGTAAATGAGCATGTGTTTTATTTCCAAAGCTTAGGCTATTAAAAAAAAAAAAATTACTAGCTAACCAGGCTAGCTTACTAGTTTAGGTATATTGTCCAATAGTTTACTTACATCGCTTGTTCATTTAGATTATACATTTAGCCCTGTTCTCTTGTCTTACCCAAGATAGTTTGGCTAGGAGGCTAACTTAGCAGCCTATTCTTTCCTGTTAAGTAATTAGCTAAACCTTACAGCTAGCCTTGCTTCAGGAGGATTAAGGTATCTATATTTTACTTATGTTGCTTACATGTACTTTTATTCTAAAATAGTTGTCTTTTTCATGTCCAGCTAGTTTTAGTCGTTAAGCTAACATACCAGGCAAGCTTTTTTCGGAGCAAGGTACATTACTACCTGGCTAATCTAGTAGCCTTGTCTTTGCTTATGCAGTGGTTAGCCCAGTTTTAGACGGCTAGTTTAACAAAATGCCCTGTGGCGGTGGTGGTGTTTTTTTTTTGTTTTTTTTTTTAGTATGTAGTATACCAAGCAGGGTTGATATCCCGCCATTGTTTGTCTTAATGTACCTATTCTGTCACACTGGCTCTCCATTTGTTTACGGTGCTTCAGATACATGGGCCAGACATGGCCGTCGAACAGACCGGGAGGGTCGGGGACCGTGTATGTTCTTGTACTGCGGAGACACAATCAGAACCGTATTAAAAGCCTGCCGTAACTGTGACTGTTACGACGATGGCGAGGGAGCCCGCTACCTTCTCCTCGTCTTGCACTCCTCATAAGGAAGTGAAATGTAGAAGCACCTGTCGTACACGTCGATGAGAGGCCTGCAGAGAGACGAGATCCTGAGATCCTGAGCGTTTGACGTCTGGAGGTTCCCAGCGACGTGTCATCAAGAGGGTGACCTACTTGTAGTTGTAGATGAGGAAGCCCTCCACGATGAGAATATGGATCCCTTTTTGGTCCGAGCCGAATTCCACGGCTTCGGGTGACAGGCTGACGCCATGGGAGCGGGCAAACTTGACCGGGTTCTCCTGCCAGCCTTTCACTGTGCCGACCATCGCCTCCATGTCCAGAGCCGAGATGACTGATGGTGGGGTGGAAAAAAAAATACAGAGAAACAAAAGCCAGTTTCAGCACATTGAGTCACATGAATGTGCTGTTAACACACATTAGTCACTGTTAGTGAATGTCTGTGGCATTCACATGGAATACTGTGTGAATGTATCATTTTTAGGTTTAGGATTGGATAGTTACCAAACCAAAAAAAAAAAAAAAAAAAAAAAAGGGGAAATGTGGAGGAAAGAAAAAGTACATTACTGCATTTGGTTTTCCTACGCGAAAATCCATTCTTACCATCCCACTGTCTAAAGCCGTCCTCCCCGACTTCTATTTGATCGGGTTTCTGAAATAACAGTCACCAGTAAAACATTGCTGCAGCCTAGCAACCCGCCGCAGCTGATCACACCTGGACAGGGCAAGCCAAGGACCCGTCTCCACTCAAAGCGGTGCACAATCTTGGGGGGGGGGTTGGTTGGATTCATACGTGATATATTCTGGATCATGGTCACTTTCCAGAGCTGGGATGCTTGTTAAAATTCGCAAGAGGAACAGGACGATAACATTTGGGGGTGGGCTGGGGGTTTCATCCATCAGATCCTGCTTACTAGGTATCTCATAGCAGAAGGAGGGTGACGTGAACAAGTTTTTGAGGGTTAATTTAGTGGATCCTATGGATGAGATAGATATTTCACAAACTTGTAAAGCAACAGAGGGATGAGACACAAATATTTTGCCGCCGTTCACAAGATCCTACAGACCACGTATTTGGAGGATGAAATCTCATAGGATGGCCACAAAAACGTTCAGGTCTTAATTAGAAGGTTCCTCCAACCAAAAGAAGAATGAGGCAAAAAAAAAAAAAATTTGGAGTGTTAATCTGTCAAACGGACTAGATAACTCGCAGCACGGGGGGGGCGGGGGGGAGCATCAGATTAAACCGTTTTTCGTTAATTTGGGGGATCCTAAGAACTTGGTATCTCATAGAATGGTAAAGCAAAGTGTCGGTATCAGATTTCAGATATCTCGCGGAACAGAAACGAAAACTGGGGATAGACTGAAAACATTCAGGGGGTTCATTCAGTAAATCCCACCGACTGAAAGTAAAGGGGCAAACGCTGAAAACATTTGGGAGGGTTTGTTCATTCAATTTTTCAGATCGTGGGTCACTGAAGGTCCCGCTCTGTTACTGTCGGCGAGTGTGATTGTCTGTCCGTCCACGTGACCCCGAATTTCAGCAAATTGCGGCGCACACAAAGCTTCGCGGTTGCCGATCGATGGCGGCTCAAAAACGTTTCTTTTGGACTTTTAAGAGGGGACGCGCCGTCCTTGATGATTGGCTGTCCAGGAGACAATCAGCCACTTGTGTTACTAGGCTACTGCCATGACAGGACAGAATTTTTAGGCTTGCGTCCTCAAGTGCAATCAGTGTAGCGTACCTTCATCGCCATCGACTCTTACCTTGAAAAAGTCATCCTGGTGCACCACGCAGCAGTTGGGCAACGTCCTGAGCAGTCTGTTAGTCAGGGTGGTCTTGCCACCGTTGGTCACTCTGCGGAAGGGACAAAAAAAAAAAAAAAAGAAAGGAAATTGACCTGTGATGTCCAGAACTACGAATCAAAGAAACGGACACTCACCCTCCAATGCCAATGATGAATTTCATGTTGGTCGCCTTTGTTTGGAATTCAGTAATGAAAAGATGGGGAACCCCGCTCCACAAAAGCTCTCTCAAAGCCTTCTCCGCCCCTCTCGGACCTCAGCCGTTCCCCCTCTTTTACTACTTCATTGATAGGCAATCTCCATGTGGGCTATTTAAAGGACGCCAGCCGCCCGCAGCACCAATCGGATCGCTTTTCCTGGAGGAGGAAGGCTCTCATTTGCATACAGGCCCAAAAATGTTTTCACCTGCTCTGGGGGTGCAGGAATGTGACACCTCAGAAGCTTCTTAAAACAAAGCTTTGATGCCGAGGTGCCAGCATGGACGAGATTTTTCGGAGGTAGTCCGAAAGGGAAACGCTTCAAGTCAATCGAAAGAGTTTGGGAGTTTTCAAGGGGAAAAAAAAACCACAGCGGTGCTAAATTTAGCTCACTCGGCATCACACATATTTCTGATGCAACCGGCCGGCTTTTGTGGCAGCAAGCCATGTGACTGGCAGGTCGAGGGAGTCATGCCGTGTTCGAAGGGGTCGTTAAAAAAAAAAAAAAAAAAAAAAATCTCCTGCAGCTCAAGGAGGGTTATAAGCTGCATGCATCACATGTTTGTTGTGTTTATGGCTAGAAATGATATGGATATCTTATCCCATTCACGTGTATTTGTCAAGTCATTGAACTTTGCTTCGACTGTTGCAGGGCACGTGATTGCAACTATAGAAGTGGCATACATACATAGACGGATGGACAGTATCGTCGACAATATGTACCGTACTCAGATTTAGATGTACTGTACGTATGAGAGAAATTGGTCTTTTAGAAAAAAAAAAAAAAGTCGTACATCTTTTGAGTTCAGCTCATGAAAAAAATGGAGCAAAATCAAAAGTGTTTGTTTATATTTTTGTACCCTTCCATCCAAGGTTTAGTCCAGTTACGCAACCTGGCTTGTGCTGCTTAGTCAGAAAACATCCCAAAAAGCATAAATAATGAATGTAAATGTGGCTACGTTGTGCTAACGGCGACAATAAACAATTTGGAAACAATGAGGTTGGAATGTGTCGGAAAGAGTCTCTCTGTCACGTGACTGTCTGGGTGACACGTTAATAACAACCAAGGTCCGGAATATGTCTACGATTGATCACTTTTAACGAGGAAGTGTGAAAAGCGAAAGACCAGGAAGTGTCAAAAGCGTGTTGGGAAGGAGGCGATCATCAGCCAAGGATGTGTTGAGGAAGTAAATGTTCACCTGCAGCAAGACAAGATTGTTTATTCTTCCACTAGTTCCCTTTTTTTAAATATCACAAACAACATGTCACATTTTTATAAGTAACACTTTTATCATCTCCGTTGACCATTTTCATCCGGCAAAAATGATGCAGTCATGACAGAAAACGGATATCTACAAGGCTGCCACCTCTGCATCGTCCACAGTGGGTCCCAAAACGACATCATTGCACATGAATCAACCACATGGCGTTCATAATAACAAAATAGGTAAGACATGTTTTTTTTCGTTAAAAAAAATAATAATAATAAATAGATGTATACGTACAGACTTTCCCTTCATGCAAACGAAGAGAGTAAAGCTTTTTCAGTACGAGCTTGTGTGAAGCTTGTCCATCACGTTCTTGATGGGATGGGAATGACAAATGATGTTCTTGCACATTTTGCATCCAGTCAGGCCGTCTGATCTTCACCATCCAAAGAGCTGCGGGGCAAAAAACACAAAGTGTTTTTACACCTTTACGCCGCAGGACGACAACTTGGGTTAAAATATCATCACACAATTCCCATCTATGAATGAATGTTGTTTCCGAATTACAAAAAAAAAAAAAAAAAACACTTTTTACTTTTAGTCAGTGTCAGGTTATACAGGTATGTCTGACACCATGAGCATATGCCCCCTAGTGGTGTGAGTCTGTAAATGCACTGATAACACCAACAACATCCCTCTTGGGGTGATTGATCATTTGCTCGGGATCGACTCATTATCAGATGGCCGAGATTTTTTTTATTTTTCATTCCATCTGACATCTGATAAGGGATCAATTTAAAACTGAGTTCACTTCACTGCAATTGTTTCTTTATTTACATTTTCATAAAATGCTGCCGACCCTCTGAACTCCCTGTGCTTTTGTTTCTGTTTGAAATCAAACCACCGAGAAGTGAAAGCTGAACATTTCAGGTATTTTGAAGAAATGAAAAACGTTTATTAACAGCATAAAACTTTAGGGAGCTATTTACTTTCTATTAAGATATGATGGCGCACAGACCAGAAGGAGCAGCACAGTGACAATTCAATGGAAGCCATTAAAAAAACAAAAATGGGCAAAAACAGTTTCAATCTTGACATTGCATTTAATTATATCATTTAAAAAAAAATCCTAAAACTAGAATATGCTACCTCAATGTTCATCCACAGTTATGAAGTTGTCGCTTGCATTGACAAGTACTAGCTAGAGAACGCGCTTCCCTCAAGAAATCATTGAGTGACTATTCCCAAAAGCAGACGCCGAGATTGGATGAGATGAAATGTTGCCTACGACTTCATAAGTGAAAGTGTGTCAATGCTTCTTCCTGGGCTTGAACCCTGTCGAGCATTCCCAGACCAGCTGAAGGCTTATGCGATCCGGCGTAAGGAGCACGATCGACTGGCGGGACGAGCGCGGTGCAGATTTCCTCCGATTTCACGAGACCATATGCGACGCAGATCAATTTGCCTGGCTTGGGGGTGGCCCAGGGACTCGCTGTTAAAAATAGAAGCTATCCGGCGCGTACAGGACAACTTAAAGAGATTAGCAGCTGCGCTTTATGTAACGCTAGCGTCCTCAGGGAATATGAGGTGCGAGGATTGTGTGACACACACACACACACGCACACACACGCACACACACACACACAGCCAGAATGTGACTGAGCATACCTGAAGCCAAAGAAAAAGTAATGAAAGCAATCGCTACTACTTGGCTACCAATTCATGTGGAAGCACAGCCACTTTGAACGAGAGTGGTCGAACTCCATTTTTGTCATTTTGCAGGAGATTGATTTGATTTTTTTTTTTTATATCTGGAATGAATGTGGGGGATTTTTATCTTGTTGACTGATATGGAAATAATTATGACTTTTGGATACATGATTTTACAGGAGTGTTTTTCTCAGAATTTGGCTTTTTTTGTTGAATAAATAAGTCAAATACTGTACTAAAACGTGTTCAATAATAGTAAGAATGAATAATGACTAATTTAATAATTTAAACAAAAGATTTTTAAAAATGTTTGGTGCAATAGTGGTCTAGGTCCAACCATCTTTCAAACAGATCAATATTTAATTACATTTGATTAAATACCCAAGCAATCCCTGATCCTCTTTTTGCAGGTGGAAATGGGAGTTGATTCAGTGTTGCACTGCTGAATCCAGAAAAGTGCTGTTTGCAATTATGGCAAGAACTTAGATTTTTTTGGACCATCTGATCGACAGGCCTTTTTTTTCGGTTGGTTTCTTGACTTATTAAAAACGACCAAAACGGAGTTGGCCCACTCTAGTTCTCAGTGTCTCTATTTTCCAAGGAGGGCTCCACGCTATATGGGATGGGATGTGCATATCGTTTTGTGAAGTCACACACATTATGTAATACATTTTCTTTCGCCATGTCACTATAACACCATCTGTCAAGTCGCAGTATTCTTGAGTTTTTTTTTCGCTTAGTTTATTATCTTAGCTTATCATCCTCTAGTCAAATGGCGGAGACATTCCAAGTAAGAGCTCAGCGTTAGCGTGACTTGTCAAAGTGCGGAGCTTGGTGTCGTAGCTCACCGTTCATTCCCCGTCACAGCTGCTCTATTTCACCCGCTACAGTAACATCGGATCTCAGGGCTAATGAGCCCAGAGCTCGCCTTTCCTGACATTCCTACCCCCACCCGACTCGACCCGACACTCTTTATGGCAGTGATTTGCAAAGTGTGATAAAGGGCTCCAGTATCACGAGTGGTACGCAGGCTCTCCCTAGTGGTATGCAAGTCGATCACGGAATTAAAATACAAATAAAACGGATGGCATTTTGATCTTGAAGTACAATCGCGCAGACTAGAATAGAGCTTCTATCCTACAGCCTTTTTAAATTTAAAAATTCCAGACAGGTTATAATAAGTTGTAAGTATAAGAAAAATGCATACATAAATATTTAATGTGTGAGAATTTATTCTTGTTGATTCAAGTTGTAAAAAAAACTTGTATATGTTAGTTTTTTTTTTCTTTTATGTATTTAAGTAGTGCAAAAGTTTAAATTGTACAACATGTGACGGTGGCTTGCAATAATAAATACCAGTAAGAGCGCTACCTCGGCTTGAGTGTGATCATTTACTGTCAAACTAAACATCAAACAAAGAGAATTACAGGTTGTGTATCATCCGAAATGCTAACACACAATGCAAAATGCCAGAGATGGTTTAACAAAATTAGCATCAATTTTGCAGTTATGTATATTTTGTTTGAGGCGGTCCGTGGTGTGAAAAGTTTAAGAAGCACGGCCGACTCGATGGCTTCCGCGGTGCGAGTTCCCTGAGGGAAGAGCCCACTGATATTACAAACCAGCTTTGCGTCACGCCAATGCTTACCTTTGAATGTCAGACGTCGCGGCCCATCTCGGCCATGATTGGCTTCGGCCTGGAAGGAGGGAGGCAAAAAGATATCGGAGTCAGTAGGACCACTATGCTTATTCATCATCCGTTTCCGGGTCAAAATGTCAGCGGCAGAAAACCCTCAAGGTAGAGAGGCCATGGATTTTAGGTCATATTTGAATCGTCTTAAAAATAACTGTCAATGAAGCAGAAATGGAGTTCACGTAATTATTTCCCATCGCTCCCGTAGAAAATAATGGAAGTAGAATTCGTTTTGTTTCCTTGGTAACCACAGTTTGACTGACAGGTCGAAATGCGTGAGTGGGCGTGGGCATTACAGCGCAGAATGAGGTCACCTTTCTTTGGGCGGCGGCGAGTTGGCAATCTGCCGGTCTTGCTCCAGTCTGCACACAAACAAACAACTGATGATTAGGCGAAGCACAAAAATAAATGAATGAATAAATGAATAAATACTAAAAAAAAATTATCATAAAAAAAAATGATGCTATTATCACTGATGTCTTGAAGACAGGGACATGTTTTGTCGACTCTTATTTCTTTGTTGCCAATGTGGGGAAGCCAATTCTCACATCAGCAAAATGCAAAAAAATATTCTCTTGAATTTCCGAATTTGAGTTCACCCCTCTTTTTTTTTTAACAGAAAACAAAGAAGAGAAATTTTACAGGTGACTGCATCATGGCACCAACGCTCACCTGGCTTTTATCTTTTCGTCATCGTACCTGAAAAGAACAGATAGGCGTGGTCAGATCAGCATTGAGGGATGCTATTGTTGTGCTTTTGAACTGATGTGGAGCACGGTGGTAGCATAGCATGGCATGGGATGGGATGGGAAGCTACTCACTGCAGCACGCACTCGGGAACCTGCACGTGCTCCATGGGGATAAGCACGCTCAGCTCGTCCAGCGTGTGCACGTAGCGGATCTTATCCAGGAACTTCACACTACAACACGGACATCAAGTACACAAAAAATGTAATCAATTATTCAAATTATTATTATTTTTTTGGACAGTGATTAATTTTTTTTTTTCGAACTCTGTCACACGTTATTCTCCAAATATTGACTTTTTTCTTTTTTTTTTTTTCCTTCAGAAGCATCAAAATTCACATTTCCAAATTGGATCTGTTGAGTAGTATGGCAATAAGTTCAAAATCAATTTGGAACAAATCTTTTTGAGTCATACATACCTCAATTTAAAGATAATGATGAGGGCTTCCCAGATCACCGGTTAATATACTTTTACGGTATATGATGAGCACAATAACAGAAAAACATTCTTATCCTTTCACTAGAAAATGTCTCCGACCTGATGAAAGGTCTGGAGATGGCCAGGATGGTCCGGATGAACCATGTCGGGTGAACAATGATGAGACACTTCAGATTCTTCCTCAATCTGCAATGACAATTAAAAAAAAATGTAAAAAAAAAAAAAAAAACCTGATGTCATTTCACCATTTGATTACCACCTAATCCAAAGACTCCTACTTCCTGTCAATCATTTGGTAGCATCTCTTCAGCCAGCCAATGCCGGGCATCTTCCTACGTGGCGTGGCTCCGTTCAGGTAGATGATCATGTAGTCGTCAGCCACGAGTAGCTCCAGGCTGCTCACCACGTACCTAAAACACACACGCACAAACACGAACGAGTGTACAGAAATCGAGCATGAGCATGCCTCTCGAAGTACGTACAAGAAGAGGTTCTCCATGATGTATGAGTAGTCCTCACAGCTGCTGTCTGGGAGGTAGCAGGCTGCAAACACGATGATGGCATTCAGGCCTTCCCCATAATAGCCTGAATGGTGAAAAGGATTATCATTATTACATACATGTATCATTTTACAATTTGAGTGAATTATATCGTTCTAAAGCAAATGTTGCTGGAGTCGTATTGTGTCCTTATTGTATTGCGGTCGAGTAGAGTGTATCACATCATTTCGCGCCATTGACTGAACTAGACCGCAAATCTTCATAACTTGAGTAAATTGGGTAATCCTGCATCACACATGCAATTAATCGTAACGTAGCACGAGTGTAATGAATCATAATGTAACACCATTGGAGTGAGCAGTATCGCATCCTCATTGGAAGAAATGTCATCGTACAGTACCGTATTTTCCGCACTGTGAGGCGCTTCGGAGTATAAGGAGCACCTTCAATAAATGGCCAATTTTCAAACTTTTTTCATATCTGGGGCGCACCACATTTTCAGGCACATAGAATAGAAGCGACAATAGTGGCTGCGGTGGTGGACGTCCACCCAATGCCAACTCACCCCCGTGCGTGACCACCCTGAGGTACGGCCTGATGACCTGCATGTCGATACGCTGCTCCTGGTCGCCGATGATGACTGTTCTCCACAGGCGACCCGACGAGTCCCTCTCCTCCTCGCCTTCGCCCGGGAGGCACTTGGCGCTGGCCACTGGGGTGTCGTCTGGATAGAAGCAGGAAGTGACGGGCTTCGGAAAGGCTGACATTTGTGTCGTTTTATGAATGCGCCGGATTTATCTTTGATTGAATTTATAGGGATCAATGACATCATCTGTACATTGTCAGCAATGCTGTTCATAACCTTTATGGACAGAATTTCGAGGCGCCACCGAGGCGTTGAGGAGGTCCAGTTTTTTTGGCATCGGTATTGCATTTCTACTTTTTGCAGATGATGTGGAACCGTTGGCTTCTACAAGCCGCGATCTCGAACTCTCACTGGAGCGGTTCGCAACCGAGCGTAAAGCGGTTGGGGTCAAAAGCAGCACCTCCAAATCCGAGATCATGGTCCTCAGTCAGAAGAGGGTGGAGTGCCCTCTCCGGGGCGGGATGAGATCCTGCCCCAAGTGGAGGACTTTCCTGAACTCACCTTCCCACTCCAGCTCATTGCCGTTATTGGCAAAATCCAGCGAGTCGGTGTCGTCGGGTGTCTCCATGTCATCCACGTTGATGTCCAGGTCGTCGGAGAGCAGCGAGCCCTCGCTGTGTTCCAGCGACAGGTTCATGTCGGGAGCGGTCAGTGTGCGCCGCTTGGACTGGTCCCTGGCGGACCCTCCCACATTCAATCTACTGGGGGGGTCTAAGACAGGAAGCTCAAGGTTACATGACATCAAAACGTGTCGAAAACATGTCAGTGGTTCACATACTGGTGGTCCTGTTGTCCATCAGTCCGCACGAGGAATCGCCATCTTCTGGTAGAGGCCTACGGAGAGACCCAAATTCATGGACAGAGCATTAGCTACGCTTGCGCTCATAATGACGAGTGCAGCAATCGAGTGCAGGACAAAATATATTGTACGATGTCCAATGAAGTTGAATGGCCATTATGTTGCTGCCCACCTTTACGGCGGTATAAAACTCACTGAACATGGATGTCTGTACAGTACACATGGATCAGCTCCTCGCAGATGATAAAGAACATACGACTGTGAGGACTCTTTGTTTGATGTCCAAACGCTTTGTTGTGCACCAACTATCAGTTGCTTCAAGGGTTAAATATCCTTTTCCCATGATTTGGGTCACTTGTATCGCAAGTAACCAACGTGGTCATTTGTATCCCCAAAAGGAGATTCGAGCGGGTACCTGGGGAAGTCCTCGTCCTGCCACTCGTCCTTCACCTCCATGCTGTCCATGCGTAAAGTGGCCTCAGCTGTCCCCATGGCGGAGGAAGCTTCGTTGGGAATCAGCTTTCTGAATTTCAAAAATACACCAAACGGCACGTATCAATATTGAGTCATATTCATTTTCTTTGGTTTCGAAAATGGTTGGACGATAAGACTGTAAAATCGTTCTCTTTGGTCGGAGGCAATATTAGTCTCAAACTGAATCACTGCCATTGACGTCTACGGACGCCAAAGGTCCATTTGAACTGGGCTGACAATGAATGAGTTCAAATAGAACTGTTGACTTTGATGTTTGACTATTTTATTTTTGCCTTTTGATGTTTGTCTACATTCTTGTGATATTCGGCAGGGTTGGTCTTGCATGTGTGGACATTCAAATTTATTTGTCGACGATATTCGTCTGATATTCAACTATAATGGTCACACAATGGCGATCCGTGCATTGGTGGATATCACGTGTATCAATAATGTGCACAAAAGCGGGTGAGGGGCAGAGTTCATTCATTGTGCAGTCAATTTGTTCACTGGTTTGGCAATGATGTGCCAAATGCACGCAGAAAGGGAACTAAAAAAAAACAACGGCGGCAACTGTGTGACTAAAAGGCCTTCTGGCAACAAAATGCCGCTTGTGTGTGTGTGATCAGATTCAAAATGGGGGTGGAGAAGTGCATTTTGCAGCTTGCAAAGAGCCTCAGGGGGCTAAAAGCTGAAAAGAAGTCATGAAACATATTTATCAGTAACGTGGCCTGCGGCAGCAGCAGTGTTGACGACAAGAGCGCAAATGCCGAATGACGCCTTCTCAGCGGCTCAAAGAAAAATCGAAATGAATGTGATCATTCAATAAACAGCCATGAAAGTAAAAGAAAAACAATCCGCAACATGAGGTAACAGTATTGATGCAAGTGACTATTCTGTTTTTTTTTGTCCGGGCCATCGAAGTCTTCAGCGTTTAACTAAACACATGCACAGGAGGTGTGAGTGTCAGTGCGGATGGTCGTTCGTCAATGTGTGCCCTGCGATTGGCTGGCAACCGGTTCAGGGTGTCCCCCGCCCACTGCCCGAAGACGGTTGGGATAGGCTCCAGCACCACCCCCGTGTTCACTCCTACAACGGCGCAAACCTCTCTTTCCAACTGTGCCCGTCCACACCAAAAGAAAACTCCACCCATGCACCCAGATAACTGTGCTTTGCACTACATTTGTGCTGGGCATAAAAACAGGGTCTTAGATTCTCTGTTTATGAAAATATATGTTGCCTTCACAGATTACTCTTGATGCTGAAAATATGATTCAGATTTCATTGTTGATGATCGAAAATATGCACGCTAGGTTCGCCGAAGGCTTAAAATCCTCTTAGATGCAGATGAAAACACACAAAATGGCTTTTGAAGTTGACAAAAAACGTACAGCGGCTTCACCAAAGACTCAGGGCGTAACCCGCATCTAACCTGACTTCGGGTAAGATAAGACTGCATGGCGAAAATAAAATCACGGGTGACAAAAGCGCAGAAAACGTGTACAATCTGCTCTCCAAACACCACAAACGTCATCTGCGCACAGGCCAGCCGCTGCGTGCGTGTACTCACATAAGAGACGAGCGCCTTGTGTGATGCGATGACAATGATGTGCCTTTAGAGACGGCCGAGCATCCCCCGTCTGGCGGCAGAGAGCCTCCGGAAGCGAGCGAGCCTTTTAGGAACAAGAAGAGTGCGTTGTCAAATCCATCCCAAGTGACATTGCTGCTTTTTGGAACCCCCCCAAAAAAGAGCAGAAAAACATCATCCTTCTGTGCTTTTCACCTCTGCGGACCGTCCCCTCAGCTAAAGCCACGCCTCCATTAATCCTGTGATGATGATGTCATCCATATGCCGGTTATGTAATCAAAGAAGCCTCCTCTTTCGAATTCAGCGCCTGCAGGATAGAACGTTTCTCTCTTCTCCTCTTCTTGGTCACGTTCCTTCTATTTGTCATCTGGTGTGTTTATTTTTAAAATGCACTCACGGGGTGGCCACTGTGGAGCTTTCCACTCTGCTGTTTCCAGGCAACCGCATCCTCCTCTCTCAGCATCCCTTTTAATCTCTCTCTCTCTCTTCCTGCTGCCGCACGTCAACATTCCTCCTCTCGCTCACCCGATTTCTTTCATCGCAATGCAGTAAGCTCTCAGGACGGTGAGTTAGTGTGGCCTTTGTTTGGACAGACAACGTGCTGTTTTCAAGGCTTGGCGCTTCCCAATGCTTGGGTTACTTCGGGCTAAGGAATAAGGAATTGAAAACAAATGACAGATGCATTCGTCCATCCATTTTCTAATCCACTCATCCTCACGAGAGTCGCGGGGCGTGCTGGAGCCTATCCCAGGGGTCTTCGGGTAGTAGGCGGGGGACACCCTGAACCGGTTGCCAGCCAATCGGAGCAATCGACAGATTATGAAGGAAAAACAAATGTCAATGAAAGAAATACACATCATAAAAAGTTGATATCGGAAACAAAATAATGCAATTACAGTTAGAAACAACTAAAACAAGACAATAAAAAAGTATGAATCAAACTTCAAAATATATCAACATTTAACAAAATAAAACAATATAAACATTCTACTTTAAAATCGATATAGTAAACCGGAAATATAAAATGGTAAATTAAAAATGAATTACAATGGGCCAAATTAATAAAATTAAACACAATATATTTTTATATAAAAAAGAATGAGCTACAAAAAAGAACAAAATAAAAAAAAAAAATATCACAACACACTGTAAAATATCCATTTTAGTTCAATCTTTTAAAATTAAAGCATTAAAAATATACTGTATATTAAAAACTAATTGTAAAATATGCAAATAAGTGTTGTGAATTAAGTGAATTAATTTGTTGTACTAATATTAATCCCCAAAGAATGATGTCTGTACTAACTTGCAGTACCATGAAAAAAAAAAAAAGTATAAAAATGGAATTCAACACACTCAGTCGATTATCAGTTGCTTGCATTGATGGCACTACTTTGACGTCGCCACTAGAGGGCGGTACGTTGGATGTGAAGCTGCCAAAGGCTGACTGTCAAAAGCCGCAGGCCGGGACATTTCCCTTTCCCGTGCACCATCCTGCCTCCATGAAATCAGTTTTTAAAGATACCGTTAAAAAGCTGCTGTCGACATTTCCGCCAAAATGGAGTGGAGTGTGAAGACAAACTATGACCTAAATGTGCATTAAGCACGGATTAGCACACCCGATTAGATGAACTCGCCCTGGGCACGCACGCACGAGCGCACTTCTCCAAGTCACACGCTCCACACCTCATAATGACTCAATGATTGATAAGACATCAAATTAACTCTTGGAATTTGGATTGTTTCTTGACTTATGTCAATGATTTTTGAGAAATGAGGTGGACATTGCACAAAGCAAGAATGGATGTCAGTGCTTAGAAGCAACCAGGGCAAAATAGCCCTCTGAAAGGTGCTTTATAAAAAAATAGAATTGGAAGAATTAAATAGTTTGTCCATTAAGATAATTCAATGGACGTTGTGGCAGGGCCACAATGCAGCAGTATAATACATTCATGCCGTCATACTTTTGATGATGGCACAGTCAAACATTGAAACTATAAGTTTCAATGTTTGACTGAAACTATAAGTCCACAAAAGGAGAATATATTGTTTGCCTGCGAGTATTGCTATGTTGTCTGTATACATGTGTTGCTCCACCGCTTGTGTTCCAGCAAGTTGTTGGGCTTGTAATCGTGGCAACCGCTGCCACAATTTAGCGCTTGATCATACACAGCGACTTGATAGATGGATGGATAGCCATATATATATCTATGTATCTCGATATCTATTTCGATATACAGATATATTTCCATTTATTTGCTGATTGGTTGGGAGAAGTGACCCGGGTGCTACTGCCTACTGGTGAGCTATCAAGAGGACAGCAAGCAGTCGACGTAATGTGGAAGGGTTTGTCTTAAGAGCGGAAACAATCCTGTGTGCATTGAGGGCGCCTAAGCTGGATGAATGCAGGAAGGGTTTTAACCCCTTTGCCCATTTTGGCAAACTAAAAGATTAAAAGATAAAGAAGGGGCAGAAAAGCTCCCAAGGTTTCTTCCGACGCTCGCCAAACAACCTGGTCTGCTGCGTCAACTTGGAAAATGTTTGCTGTTCACGAATGCGTTTCATGAGCAAAAGCCAAAAGCGGCGTCGACGTGCCGCGTCAGGGATGAAATCTTCGTTTTTTTTCTCCAAAATTATAAGGCGAAAGGACATGTTCACTAGAATTAAGGGCACAACTGAAAAGTACTCAATTTGTTCAAATTAAAGATAAGAACTAAATTGCCCACTTTTGACTTGAGGCATGAGGCCCTGTGATCTGCTAGCTTACAGATCTTGAGGTGTCCACTTTTTTTTTTTTTTGGGCATTATGGACCGCTTTCGTGGATATAATTTGACGGAGCGTCCGAGGCCCGCTTGTCGCACGGTGAGTGTAGCCGTTAGCGGAGTGTGAGTGGCGAGCCATCTTCGTCAATCAAGCCTGCCGCCACGACCGTCGTTCAAAGACTACAAGGCAACAAACACGCCGCCAGGGTCAACGCATCGGTTCCAATTACTTTTGCTCACTTGGAAAGCGAGTGGCTTCAGGCAAAAGGTGCTTTGTCTTGAGTCGGTTAACACATCTCGATCGAAATAGCACGAATTAAAAGCTCGTCTTTAGTCTGACGTACTTCTATCCATCTGAAAGCCTTTATGATACCAAAAAAAGGGACTTCGACTTGCCGTTTCAATACTTTTGGAGGGGACTGTATACATACATTACGTTTGGCCTTTCCCCCCCCCACCCGGCCCGCCCGCAATTAGTCTCCAAGCTGGTCACATGGGGTAAGGCAGCAGTGCCTCCCCTCCATCCCCTCCCTTGTCCTCCTGCTCCCCCATCCCCCTTTCTTTTTCCTGCCTCGCTTCCTTTCTTCCTCCCTCGTGGCTCGTTCCCCGGCAAGCTGACGCAGCGCCTCTGCAGCGTTAGCCGCTTTGTGGCTAATAGGATGTGGCGGGCTTAAAGTGTCATCTGATAAAACTAAGATGCTTGGTAGCTACACTGCGTCCGCTTAACCAATTTGCACTCAATTAGGATAATGGTGGGGGAAACAAGCAAAGAGGGACAGCTTTAATATATTAACGTGATAACTTGATAATCAATTTCGCTGGCCGGCGACTCGCTAGGTGTCAGTGACAAGAGGACGTTCGCGTCCGATCGAAAAAGCGACGCGGCATCCATTTGACTTTGAAAAAGGTTCCGTTCTACTTTTTTGTAAATATCGAATATTCTTTTATTTGCTGAGCGACTGGGACACATCTTTCTACTGCCTCATCGTGACGCATGTGGCATCCGTATTATTAGAAATATGTTGTTTTTTTTTTCCCCATTTGAACAACTTTACAAAAACATTTGTATGACAAGTCTCCAGTATTTTGTGGAATCATTGGTGACTTTAGAAACGTTGTTCTTCCCTTTTGGTGATTCGTTCGAATTCCTTTTGCCGTGAGGATTCATATGCTAAATGCATGTGACAGAAGCCATGTTGTAACACTGAGGTGAGTGGTCTGCTTTAAATGGAATAAGCCAGGCTTGTTGGCAACCAGTCCCGATGTTGACAGACGGGTTTAATTTTGTTAGCAAGCCTTCGAATAACAACAACAAACTCAAAAGCAACAAGCACAGCCTCTTTGGATGACATGCGTTGTACAAGTCTTTTGGGACGACTAGTCAGCTCTCGACGACAGTACAGTGGCGTCTTGAGATACAAGTTGAATTTGGTTTATGAGACCAGACTTGCAGCTCAAAACACCCGGACCTCAAATGATCTTGTCCGATTAAAATGAATGGAGATGCCATTCGTAAGGTTCTCTCCCTCTCTCTGTTTTGACACAGGTATCTCTCTTTCTATTTTCTAATCCGCTTTATCCTCACAAGGGTCGCGGGCATTTGGAGCCTCTCCCAGCCGTCTTTGGGCAGTAGGCGGGGTACACCCAGCACTGGTTGCCAGCCAATCGCAGGGCACACACAGACGAAAAAAAATCCCGCTCACACTCCCACCTAGGGACAATTTGGAGTGTCCAATCAGGCTGCCATGCATGTTTTTGGAATGTGGGAGGCAACCGGAGTACCCGGAGAAAACCCACGCAGGCTCGGGGAGAACATGCAAACTCCACACAGAAAGGCCACAGCCGGAATCGAACCTGAACCTCTGCATTGTGAGGCCGACATGCTCAGCTGTCAATCGCCGTGACGCCCCATATATATTAGGGGTCAAATGACGCGTTTGTTTTGTTTTTTTTTTTTGTTTTTTTTTACCGATACGATACGTATCCATATAAATTCTAAAAAACGAATAAAATAAAATAAATACCTATTAAGACAAAGTGAAAAGGCCATCCTAAATATATGGTGGGGGGTGGTGGATGGGGGAAGGGATGAGGTCAAATTAAATCTCCAGTGAAGTCTTTAGGCTCATTAAGGAAGCAGATTTGATCTGTATGACACCTCCTACTGGAGCGGCGGCAGCTCCAGTCATTTGCAACTTGCAAAGACCCCGCAGCACCGGTGATTTGGCCACTCAGACTACTCGCCAAACTGAACACACCATGCAACAGTACAGTGGTGTCGCTTGGTGCGATCCAAAAGGGAAATTGTCTTTCAAGTTGCTGTAGAAGTTAATTATTCTTATATGGAAATATATTCATGTTCAATATAATTTTTGACCTAATATTTTTCTGGAGCTTCCCCAATTTTTTCAAATGGTCCAATTTGGCCCACAACATGACACGAGGGGGTTTTTGGTGACAAGTCATGGAAAAGGGAAACAGATTCGGGGTTGTTTCCGGCGGCTCCGAATGAAAATGAAAAAGTCGGTCCATCTCTTGTGTCTCTGGAGTGCGTAATGAAGGGATTAGTGCACAACTCTCGCTTAGTGGCCTTTATCTGGCGCACAATGGCTTTTTTGAAAGAAAGTTTTGTCAAGGCTTCATTAGCGACGGCCTCCAACTGGGCCCTGAATGCGACACACATTTGGAGCAATTACTTGGGCAGAAAACAACTGTCAGTCATTCTTAAAGGGGAAGGATCCAAATGAATATACCTCTTAATCCCTCCTCCGTTTGTCTTCCTTTTCGCGGTCCACTGTTTTTTTTTTTAATTTACGGAGTGTTTGGTTTGGCGGTGGAAGACGGGACGCCGTCATCGCATTTGTTCACTTGGTGCGGAGGCGGCAGCAGGTGGGGGGGAAGGGGGGGCGGAT